GAGCAGTGCGATTTTTGTCCTGGCCGTGGAACACTGGACCAGCTCTACACTCTCAGCAGGGTCCTGGAGGGTGCGTGGGAGTTTGTCCAACCAGTCTACATGTGCTTTGTGGACTTGGAGAAGGCGTTCGACCGCGTCCCTCGGGAGACCCTGTGGGGGGTACTCTGGGAGTATGGGGTACCGGGCCCTTTGATACGGGCTGTTAGGTCCCTGTATGACCGGTGTCAGAGCCTGGTCCGTATCGCCGGCAGTAAGTCGGGCTTGTTCCCAGTGAGAGTTGGACTCTGCCAAGGTTGCCCTTTGTCACCGATTCTGTTCATAACTTTTATGGACAGAATTTCTAGGCGCAGCCAAGGTGTTGAGGGGATCCATTTTGGTGGCCTTAGGATTGTGTCTCTGCTTTTTGCAGATGATGTGGTCTTATTGGCTTCATCGATCGTGATCTACAGCTTTCGCTGGAGCGGTTCGCAGCCGAATGCGACGCGGCCGGGATGAAGATCAGTTCCTCCAAATCTGAGGCCATGGTCTTGAGCCGGAAAAGGGTAGAGTGCCCTCTCCAGGTCAGGGAGGAGGTCCTACCCCAAGTGGAGGAGTTTAAGTATCTTGGGGTCTTGTTCACAAATGAGGGAAAAATGGAGCGTGAGATCGATAGGTGGATAGGTGCAGCGTCTGCAGTGAAGCAGGCGCTGTACAGGTCTGTCGTGGTGAAGAGAGAGCTGAGTCAAAAGGCGAAGTTCTCAATTTACCGATCGATCTATGTTCCTACCCTCATCTATGGTCACAAGCTTTGGGTTGTGAGCGAAAGAATGAGATCTCGGATACAAGTGGCCGAAATGAGTTTTCTCCGCAGGGTGTCTGGGCTCTCCCGTAGAGACAGGGTGAGAAGCTCGATCATCCGGGAGGGACTCAGAGTAGAGCCGCTGCTTCTCCACGTCGAGAGGAGCCAGTTGAGGTGGCTTGGGCATCTGTTTAGGATGCCTTCTGGATGCCTCCCTGGTGAGGTGTTCTGGACACGTCCCACCGGAAGGAGGCCCAGAGGAAGACCCAGGACATGCTGGAGGGACTATGTTTCTCGGCTGGCCTGGGAACGCCTCGGGGTTCCCCCGGAAGAGTTGGCCCAAGTGGCTGGAGAGAGGGAAGTCTGGGCCTCCCTACTTAGGCTGCTACCCCCGTGACCCGACCCCGGATAAGTGGAAGAAAATGGATGGATGGATGGACAATAGGATTTCCATGTGAAGCTTAAAGAGAGATGTGAGTCGACCAAGATACCCAAATATTTATAGGAATCAACAAACTCAATAGGGACACCATTTGAGGATAAAATTAGAGGAAGAACTGATGGGACTGACTTTCCTGTTTGAAAAAAGCATCCCTTTGGTTTTATCGGCATTTAGGACAAGTCTGAGACAGAACAAGTCTGACTGGACTATGTCAAAGGCGGATTGCAAAAGCTGGAGAGCCTTAGCAACTGTTTTAGTTCGACAATAAACAACTGTGTCATCAGCATAGAAATGTAAGGATGCATCAGGGATGCTTTGACCTACATTACCTATGTAGATTGTAAAGAGGGTGGGTCCTAAAACTGAGCCTTGTGGTACACCATTACTGACTGTTAGATAACTGGAGGAAATACCATTTTGTTTAACACATTGCCTCCGATCTGAAAGATAGAGAACCAACCAATAGTATGATCTGAAAAAAAAAATCAATTTCTGATAGCTATTGACACAATATGTCATGATCCACAGTGTCAAAAGTTTTAGACAGGTCTAAGAAAAGTGTAGCACAATAATCCTTAGCATCCAATGCTTCAACGATGTCATTAAAAATCTTCAGTGAAGCAGTCGTTGTGCTGTATTGATTCATGAAAACTGATTGGTGGGGAGGTAAGATGTTAAATGAGTCCAAATACGTTCTAATTTGAGAGTTTAAGTTTTTCTAGAGCCTTGGCTAAAAGGCAGAGTTTAGAGATTGGTCGATAGTTGTTCAATGAGGTGGGGTCACCTCCCTTCAGCAAAGGTAGAACAAAGGCTATTTTCCAAGCATATGGAATGGTGTTTTGTCTTATGGATAGGTTAAATATGTGGGTCATGGGAACTGCAATGATATGAGCGGCCAGCCTTAAGAAATAAGGTGGAAATTCATCTGGTCCTTGAGAACGGGGAAAGAGAAAAGGTGTGATTTACTGAAGATTGACTTGTAGGAGAGATGGTTTGTAATAGATTGACTTTTTGGAGAAGTGGCTGATTTTCCATTAGTACCTGTGTTAAATAAAGAACTAGAAGCAACAAAAATGTTTGTTGAAACAGTTCAGGATCTCGTGCTTATTTGACACAGGAACAGAGTTAGCAAGAACTTGTGATGTGAGGTCAGATGATTGGGAGCTGCCTGAGAGAGATTTGATGGTTTTCCAGAATCTTTTAGGATCATTTAGATTTTTGGAGGTCTGAGATAAGAAATAGTTCCATTTTGCAGCTTTGATGGAAATTGTGCATTTATTCCTCATCTGCTGAAAACTGAACCCATCAGTGTCTGAGCCAGATTTTCTCGCTGTGGCCCTAAGATGATCTCTCCTGTTCAGGAGGTCAGCTAGCTCAGGAGTAAACCAGGGGCTGTCTTGTCCTTTTATTCTGAACTTGCGAAAAGGAGCATACTTGTTTACAAAATAAATTAAACAATTAAGGAAATTGTTCCAAGCGGTGTTCACATCGTCGGTTAATAGAATATGATGCCAGTCAAACAGAAATAAATCCCAGAGGGATGACTGTTCACAAAAACTTTTGAAATCCCCCTTTTGAATTAATCTGGGCTTAGCGTGCAGAAGTTTAGTGTCTCTGAGAACCGCTATTACAAAATGATCACTTAGAATATCGGCAAAATCACCTACACTGGGGAATTTTTTTTCATTCAACCTTTATTTAGACATGTTAATTCCATTGAGCCTCGAGGACTCATTTACAAGAGAGAACTGATTTCAACAAAGAATGATGCTAACAATGGACAATCATAAAAGAGGCATACAGATTTTTTAAAAACAAATTAAAATAAGATGGCAAAAATAGCTAGATCATAAGGCGAATGTAGAAAACTAAACACAGGAACATGTCTGCATTGGTCCTTGCCAGGAGTCCAAAAGATTATTAAAGCCACTTAGAGAGGTCAAGGCTGAAAGCTTCAGATCTTTTTGAAAGATATTCCAGGAAACAGGAGCGGAGTAGGAGAAGGCCCTTTTTGCCAAGTTCAGTCCTCAATGAGGGAACACTGCAGGTAATAATGTCCTGAGAGCGCACGCTGTAGCTGCACTCATGCAGAGACATGTAGGAGGAGATGTACAAAGGCAACAGACCAAGAAGTGATTTAAAGATTAATATATACCAGTGGAAGAGTCTGCGTGAAGTTAACGATGTCCAGCCAACCAGCAAATACAGGGTGCAATGGTGGGTACAATAATCACAGCCAGTTATGAATCTTAGTGCACCGTGATAGACAGCGTCCAACATCTGTAGGGTGCTTGTAGGAGCATTCATGTAAATAATGACACCGTAGTCAAAAGAGGGAAGGAAAGTAAGTAATTTGTAAGGCATATGTGAGGCACTTTGTTCACAGGCTTTGAACCCCGTGGTTTATACAATGCTGCTGCTAATTTATTGATTTTTTTGACTGGCTAATAAGCTTCCTGCCACCAAAAACATTTAGCCTCGTCAGAACCGGGCACTCACTTATCTGCCCAATACAAGTCTCTCTTGGGGGGGTGGGGGGGTGATCCTCCTGACTCAATGACACTACCTCGTTGGTTCATTGAGGTTGATTGCTGATCACATGGCCTCAGAGAAGAATTATAGGTAAAATTTATGTTCATTGTTAATCATTTCTGTTAGCTGTTTAGCATTGTTCTTTTAGTGATTAGTCTGTTCTTGTTATCTTTGTTTATATGTTCATTATGTGCTAGTTTGTGTTAGACCATTCAGTAGAGTAACAATGAATAGCGGAGGTAGTTGGCATGAAGACCTGTGGGATTCACTCTGTGTTGAAAAGTAAGATAAAGTCATAAAACGCCATCTGTTGTTTGAATCTTAATCTACAACAAAAGCTGTACAGTAGTCCCTCGCTACTTCGAGGTGCGTTTATCGCGGACTCTGTCTATTGTGGTTTTTCAAAATAAGATTGGACATGACACACAATTGGCCTTGGTGATTGATGGATGAGCCACACGATCAGCATGGAATTTTTATTTTAAATAAATTATTTTAAATTATTTAGCACCTGCTGCACATTTGTGCAGTCCAGAGCTGCAGAACAAGCTTCCTCCTGCACATCTGTGCAAACCCTACTAAAGAATAAACTTCCTGCTGCAGCTGATCTCTGTGCAGAGCGTAGAAGTGGGTGTGGCCGAGAGCACTTGAAGGTGGCAGAAAGCAGCAGAGGCAGAGAGAGGGGAATCATGACATTATGTGTTCTTTTAGAGCGTTTAGAGTTTAGAAACATTGTTTAGAATATTTTAAGAGTGTGGGAAGTGTTTAAAACACTATATACATATATATATATATATATATATATATATATATATATATATATATATATATATATATATATATATATACAAAATAAACTACGACTTACTACTTGTACTACTATTCCTACTTCACAATTTTTCACTTATTGCGAGGCTTCAGGGTACAGATCCCCCCGATAAACGAGGGACTACTGTACATCTCTCTCAGTAGCTGTGGGCTGCCTCATGTTACGTGTTACAACACCCGCAGCTTAAATATGTACAATTTATTAATTAATTAATTTATTTATTTAGAGCAGCTTATATTCGGGTGCGCTCTATAGACCGGCAATTACTGTAGATCTCTGTAAACTGGCAACTTCAAAAGTAGATCTTGGTTCAGAAAAGTTTGGCCCTCCCTGAACTATGGGGTTTTCAGCTGATACTTATGCTGCTTGTTAAATTCTGTCCTGAGGCCCAGTTAAGTTTGTGGGAGCAGAACACTTACCTCCACCATAGATCCACACCATGACAGATAGGTTGTGAGGTCTGGGAGAAGAAGGCACCCAGATGTTCAGGTACAGGCAGTCCTCACTCATCTCTCTGTTTGGATTCCACATCTCGATGCCCTGGAAGCCGGGGAATGAGGTATCTACAAACTGGTAACAGGCCTTTGGGTAGGCATTGGCCTCTAACAGTCCTGTCCAGGGACGTTTGGGTTCAGCAGGGCGAAAACGTTGCTTTCCGATAGGCGGCTCACCAAAGGGGATGCCTAGAAAGGCAGTAACATAGTTCTGACTCGGGACTGGAAGGCGAATGCCTCGGACACGACCATAACGTGTATGAACGATGTCTGCATCATTCTGAGAAAAGCAGAGGGGAACAAGAGAAAGACTAAAGATGGAGGAGAAAAAGAAGAGAATAATGCAGGGCTGCATGATGGAGGCTATGAGGCTGGAGCTGTGCTCGTGACTCCCAGGCAGGATGTGCTCTGCTTCACCTCAGACCTGCAGAGGACAGAGACAGAGAGAGTAATCCGATTACTGACTGAAGGAGAGGAAGCAAATAACACACAGGAGGCTGTCATCCGTCAGGTTTGAACAAACCCACATGACAACCGTTCACGACAGCTGGTAGCACGATCACTCAGATCACAATGTTCAGGGATTTCTGCTCACTTCATCTGTAGAACTTTTCAAATATTTAACTTGGATTAAATAAATATCTTTCATCTTTTTATTCTCTGAATTCTTTAAAACACACATATATCTATATAAATATATATACATACATATATATATACATACATATATATATATACATACATATATATATATACATACACATACATATAAATATACATACATATATATATACATACATACACATACATATATATATATACATACATATATATATACATACATATATATATACACATATATATATACATACATATATATATATATACATACATATATATATATATACATACATATATATATA